CAGGAAGGTAGCCGAATAATAACTCATGATCTTAGGTTTTCCCCCAAATCATGACCTTGGTATTTCCCCGGTGACGCTAAAATTCCAAAAGCAACGAGCTTGTGACGTGACCAGGGAAATCCCAAGGTCAAGACCTTAATCCACCGCCATAACCTTGATCTGGCATCAAAGAGTATGACTTTGGACCAAAGTTTAAGAAATGGAGAAATCCAAGGGTCATGACCTTTGGAAATTCCGGGTTCATGACCTTGTGACGTTACAAAATCCAAGATGGCGCATGGTGGCGGTGTTCTACTGATCAATAAAAATAATTTTAAACTGAAGCGGAAGTTGGATCTAAACTTGTTCTTATCAAAATATCCATTTCTTTGTTCAGTTTCGTATTTATTGAGTTCTTTGTAGAAAAGATTTAAATTCACAGTAGGAATTTCAGATTATTTAATACAGGTAAGGGAACACCATCAGTCCGCTGTACCACCAATCAAACGGTCAAATTGAAACAGCCGTAAAAATAGTAAAGAGAATTTTAACAAAATGCGAAGACCCAAATTAAGGATTATTGAGCTACCGCACGGCGAGCTTGTAATGGGTAGAACACCAAGGTCCAACGTACCAACAGACAAAAGCCTGTACACAGTAGCGTAACTTCATTTTAGAGGCCCGTCTTCAAAAATATTTGGGGACCCTTTCCTTATATCAGCAATTTTGAAACGATGTTAATTTGTATATGTAGAAAATTGTGTCTTGATTTAGCTTTGCTGATTTTACATTTTGTAATTCATTGGTTCACAGGTTCATTGTAAAATTTAGCGTCACTGCTTTCTGCGTTCAGTCTGAGGCCAGTTGACTTTGTTCCAACTTTAATATTATCATGTAATATTTGTGCCATAACAAAAGGTAATAATGTACTTAACTTGAATTGTAACTCTTCGTTTTATTGTGACTTTTATTGACTTCAGGTTTTGTAACCCTTGGATTCGTTTGTTATTTAATGGTTTCACTTCAAGTGTTATCCTTATTTTGATTTGTTTAATATTTCCCAGTTCCTTCAATGTTTAAACTCGTTTAGTTTGACTTCAATTCTTTGTGTATGAATCTGCCTTTTTTTAACTGTTTCGTGCGTGCAAAGGTAAATTGCTGGAGTGTTAAAATTACTTAGCGGCATTCATCTCTAAATACAACTTCAGTCTAGGTACCATTTCCAGGACCTTCAGATACCTTCTGGATTGACATTCTCGCGCCATTGTTGGTTTACAGTTACCTACCACTAATTATTTCTCTTGAAGTGCATGCGGGCAAAGTTTACAATACTAAATATAATAAGTACTCATTTTATGTTTCACGAAGAAGGAGATTATCCGGTGTGGATTGCCCTGTATGATTTAATTAACCGTTTATTCCTTGGCGAAAGGACTTAATAGAGATATCGTGTTCAAGTAATGTGTAACCGAAGCTATGCTCACTTGATGTCTTTTTAGATATTCTATTCCACTCTCCGTCCGTCCGCCCGTCCGTCCGAGCCAACTGCTCTGCTACCGATGTCTGAAAGTGGCCTGTTACTTTCGGTATGTAAATTAGATGTCGGTTTTTGTAACCTTTCCCCAAAACGTCCAATTGTATATATATATAGATTTATATGGTGAGCCAAAATTGCAGGGCTTGATATGGGACCCAAGTTCAAATATAAACAGACCCAATATTATATGTAACATGTATTCACATCATAGCTAGACATATCTACAATACTCTTATCTAACATACACAAAACTCAGTAGATTATACACTTCGTTTAGTCTTTGAATATAAAATATAGTTATATTCAAAGTTTTAGTATAGAAAATTAAATTATATTTTTCATGTAACCCAAAAAGGGTCACCCGTCCATTTATATATTAATTAAACTTGAACTTGAAATCTTAATGTATGGATTACTGGAGTGGAGTCGAAAATTAAATTCAAATTCAGAGCTATAAACTGCCTCGATCAATAAGATCTCCAGTATTTGACGATTCAGAGAAATAAAGGGGTAATCCTAAATCACTATTATTCTTGCAACTGGAACTGAACTGCAACTAACACGTACGTAATAATGATACCGCACAGCTACAACAGATCTATTAGCAAGGCTTCCGTAAATTGGCAGAATAAATTACCAAAGTTATTGTCTTTAATCCTATTACGAATAGACCCATTCCTGTAACGCCTGGTTTTTTAATGATTAAAAGCTTTATAAGGATCTCAATCTGCAAGAAAATATCAAGTTCTGATATAAATTTTATCAGTGTTCATACTTCGTCTATTTCTATCTTCGGTAACTTGCTGAGAGGGGCTTTGAACAAAAACGACAGTAGATCGTCATTCTGCAAATATATAAGCACTTTAGTAAATTGCAATATTCGATATCATTAGACGAAAACCGCTACGTATTCCCTGTTTTATACATTTTTAGCATAGACCAAATACATGGTTTATGTTTCTAGATACGTTTCTTCGGGTCCGTTAAGTGAACAGGGCATATGAATAGCACAAACGACGGATGTGCAAAAAATTCCAGGACTTTAGGACCATTCCCCTAGAAGTAGTTCAAAACGGCAAAAGTGGGTCCGGACGGACGGACAAAACGAAAACAATAGCACATTGTTTTTAACTCTTAAAAAATGCGCTAAAAAGTATTTCGCACACATGACAAAGTTGAACATAAACAGCAAATGTTTTGTTTCTAGATTTTTGCATGGTCAGTAGGTAATGCATTGCCTTAATCGTTTTATTTAAATCGATTTTTGTTATGATAAGAAGCAATGTAAAAAGGTTCATAAACTTACAACTCTGTGAAGATTTTCCATGACGGCAATAGCGCTGAAAACCAAAATTAGTGGTATATAAACCGGTAAAACCGTGACGCTTGGTTGAAAATGGATTTTTCCGAGAAGCAGCATAACCAGCACAAAAGTGTTAATTACGTTAATCGCCATAGATGTTAATAACCAAATAATAACGATTGGCCCAAAAATCTTATCTGCGGATTGCAAACACCGTCTTAAGTTGGTATAGAAAAGCACGAATTCTTTCGTTCTGTTATTAAGGGTCGTGTTTTTCAAGAAATACACTTTGAAGTTTTGTTGGTGGCTGTAAAAAATGGTGAAAAAAATTACTCCGGCGTATCTAAAGCAAAGTATCGTGATTGTGTCAATGATAAAACTGACTAGATCCATTATCACGAGAAGGGCATTTCTCTCTTCGGTGTTCGTAATGTAGATACCAAATATTGCGAAATGGCCGAAGAGCCAGGCCATTATCTGCAATCGTAGTCTTTCCACAGTGGATTTGGTCATTGTGACTTCCGCTGTTAGGTCATACCAGTCTTTGAGCCAATCGTTTATCGCCGCCACACATGCTCGTATGAGTTTTGTATAAAACAGGACTGTTAATGCTGTTATACAGGCCCTCAAATACGACAGGAAGTGCATGCATGTAAATGCCCACACGACTAGGTTCTCATTTTTACTGGTGACACTTAAAGAAACTCTTGCGTGGTAAATTGTGCCTATAAGCAATGTGATTGCAATAGCAAAGGAAGTGATAACTGATCTTATAGACCAATGGAAATCAGTTTTGGAGTACAAGTAGTTGTGGTCACACGATATAACAAAACATGGAATTCCAAAGAAACTTCCAACGTATACGAGGTCCTTCAGGATACACGGTATACAGTTTGCGACCACCATGGCAGTCGTGCGTACAATTTGTGGTACCTGCGTATGGCAATTGCGGTGCGAGTAAATAATTGATAAGTGAAAATCATTAGGTTTGTGTAGTAACGCATTAAGAAAATGATGTAAATATCTCAGTTAATTACGGTCATAAAGTAGGTATATGGACGCGGACGTGGCAATGATCATTTTCTCCTACTACTAACTATTGATTAAATCACCTTTGCACAAACAAACTGTTATGTTTATGTTTTATGCATAAATCAGATTCGAACTCCTTTTCGCCAGGGAGTTGATTTCACAAATGTATACCGTATGAGAGGAAAAACATTCCTGGCACCTAACAATGTGGCAACACCCGAATGGAGTGAAGCACAACACAGACCGTCTTCGTAACTAAGATACTTTTTCGTATATTTAGTGCCATAAGGGTTTGAATAGGGTGAGTTGGTGCAATGAGAACCAACGCGAGTGTCGCCCAGTTTGCGTTGGGATCGTTTTGTTATTTGTGAACGACACGGTTTACGCAGATAAGAATAGTAAATTGCGATTGGTAGAGAACGCGGCGGAGAGTACCGAGGTTGTGCGGGCACTGACGGAATTCCCGTTCCGTTTCTGTTTTTCTAGTGGGCGATCTAGGAATGGTATAAAAAGTACTTACCTGGGTACTAGTGAATTATCGGTCGAGCGGTTTACTTGTTTCTTAACCGAGGTGCCTTCGTTTTTTTTGTGTTTGTAAACATCCGCACGCAAACTTTAACCACGGGCGAGTTCAGGAAAAAGAACTTACCGAAATATTAGTTACCTACTGGTGTTTGTACGTCGGAGCGAGCACGAGTTTCTTTGGTGTTTTCTCCTCAATAAAAACTCGAGATGATGAACACTTATTGAGCGTTATGTTTAACAAAATGATAATAAAGAAACTAAAACAAATAAAAAATGAGTTTCTTCATAACTCAACTTTTCCGCACGAAAGCATTTTGTTGCGACCCACCACCTTCCCATGTTGTATTTACTTCTCATTTCGTTACTTTTCCACATGCGCGCGCAGCAGCTTTTTACATGTTCAACATAATCCATCGATTTCCTTTTATTAAAAGGTGCTACTATTAAAATTTCACCAAAATCCGGTCGTAATCAAGAAAGGAAAACTGCAGGAAAACCTAATTCGG